TGAGTGTACACAAATAGAAAATGTATAAACTAAATCTAGAATTTACATGGATTCTCACCGAAACAGATATGCTTATGTGAAATTAGGTCATTCCTCCTCCTGAGGCTCCTTCCATGCTCCACACATTTATATGATTTCTCCCCCATGTGGATCCCTTTATGGGAATTCAGATGACCTTTCTGAGTAAAACACTTTCCACACTCTGTGCAGTTATATGGTTCCTCCCCTGTGTGGAACCTTTTACGGGAGGTAAGATCCCTGCTAGCAGTAAAGCTCTTTCCACACTTCATGCATTTTTATGACTTTTCCCCTGTGTGGATCCTCTTATGGGAAGTAAGATTACTGTTTTGAGTAAAGCTCTTTGCACACTCCATGCATTTATATGATTTTTCCCGTGTGGGTCCTTTTATGAGAAATAAGAGAATAGTTTCTGGTGAAGCTCTTTCCACACTCCGTGCACTTATATGACTTCTCCCCTGTGTGGATCGGTCTATGGATAATAAGGTGACTGCTTCTTCTGAAGCTCTTTCCATACTCCAAGCATTCATGTGGTTTCTCCCCTGTATGGATCCTTTCATGGGAAGTACATTCACTCCTAGTACGAAAGCTCTTTTCACACTTCATGCATTTTAATGACTTTTCCCGTGTGGGTCCTCTTATGGGAACTAAGATTACTGCTAGTAGTAAAGCTCTTTCCACACTCCATGCATTTATATGGTTTTTCCCCTCTGTGGGTCCTTTTATGAGAAATAAGATGACTGCTTCTTCTGAAGCTCTTTCCACACTCTGTGCATTCATGTGGTTTCTCCCCTGTATGGATCCTTTCATGGGAAGTAAGTTGACTCTTCCGACTAAAGCTCTTTCCACACTCCAGGCACTTATATGGCTTCTCTCCTGTGTGGATTCTTTTATGCTGAATAAGCTGACTCCTCATTCTGAAGCTCTTTCCACACTCCATGCATTTATAGGGTTTCTCCCCTGTGTGGATCTTTTTATGCTGAATAAGCTTACTCCTCATTCTGAAGCTCTTTCCACACTCCAGGCACTTATATGGTTTTTCCCCTGTGTGGATCCTTTTATGATGGGAAGTAAGATTACCATTTTGACAAAAAGTCTTTCCACACTCCATGCATTTATATGGCTTCTCCCCTGTGTGGATCCTTTTATGGTTAATAAGGTTACTCCTCATTCTGAAGCTCTTTCCACACTCCATGCATTTATACGGTTTCTCACCTGTGTGGATCCTTTTATGGGACGTAAGTTTACTCCTAGTACGAAAGCTCTTTTCACACTCCAGGCACTTATATGGCTTCTCCCCTGTGTGGATCCTTTTATGCTGAATAAGCTTACTCCTCATTCTGAAGCTCTTTCCACACTCCATGCATTTATACGGTTTCTCACCTGTGTGGATCCTTTTATGGGACGTAAGTTTACTCCTAGTACGAAAGCTCTTTTCACACTCCAGGCACTTATATGGCTTCTCCCCTGTGTGGATCCTTTTATGGGACGTAAGTTTACTCCTAGTACGAAAGCTCTTTTCACACTCCAGG